GCTATTGGTTGATGTATTCGTTTAGTTACATATTAGAACTTTAGATGGCAATTCTGTCGCATCACGTCTTGTGCAGTAAACGCAGATTTTTTATTTATTTATATTATCATTAGCACGTATACAGCGTGTAAACAGTGTGAATATAGATATACAAATACCTGGAGTTATCATATACTGGCCCAATAGATGATCATATACTGGTACATGATCATCTATTGGGGCTTTTACCTTAGTAATAATTAATTTACAAAGAAGTTTCACTTCTGACATGTGTACTTTGTACGCACGCACTTTTTTTTGTGTTTTCCTTTGCCTGGAAGAGATCCCTTGTTAGCGATAAGGTTGCCCGTTGCATCCATGTTATTTGATATTTTAACGTCACGAAGTTTATATAAATAACGAAAAGGTGAAAATATCTAGTGACTGAGTTTGTTTATTTATTAATTTGTTTTTTTTTATAACAATTAAGAAGTTATTGAGAGACTAATTTCCAAGCTAGGTGTGACTGTATGTGTGTGTACCTGTGATATGGATAACCAGGTTTCCATTCCATTTAATTAAATCCAGACTATATTTTTTGTTTCAGCGCCATCTCGCGGCGGTGAACATAGTTGCTGTGAATAGATGTCGCTAGTGAATGTAATGACTGTATTGAATAAATGAATTTTGTGGTTTATTTGTTTTTTCTTTATCCCGAATTCCTTACAATAATCGCAGCATATGATTGGTAAAACTGGTGTTACAAGACACGCCCTTAGATTTGTATCGAATATATAAAATTCGCGTCACAATGTTCGTTCCCATACTCCTCCGAAACGGCTTGACCGAATGGCTTCGGAGGAGTTTCATTAGAAACAGCGTGACACGAGAATTTTATACATTTTTTTTAATGACAATTCACACCAATTGACCTAGTCCCATGCTAAGCTGGTGAAGCTTGTGTTATGGGTACTTGGCAACGGATATACATACATATTATAGATAGACATATTAATACATATTAAACACCCAAGACCTAAGCACAACACCAAATGCTAATCACATCGATGTTTGTCTCAGCCGGGGATCGAACCCGGGACCCATGGATTCGCAGTCAGGGGTACTAACCACTAGACCAATGAGTCGTCACTCATTCGATTCATAAGGTTTGCTGAAATCCCTATCAACTGCAGAACACGTTTAACTGGAAATAACTATCCATTTTACACGCCTGTCTCACATTTTTGCTCATCATTTAATGGTTAACAGACTATGTTTAAAATAAAACTATGATGATTCAGCAATTCATAGAGATCTTTCGCCGAGTCGTTTTAGCAACCTCGCAATGTCAATTATTTGCTATTGCTATTTTCATTTGCCTTTTTATATTCCTACATAATTGAGAATTACGACTTACTTGCGGACCCGGCGAACTTCGTTCCGCCTAACAGTCTAATATAATAGATGTTTATTGGAAATTCCATCCCACACTTCATCCTTCTTAGGCAATTCATTCACGATATCCGCTATTAAGTTGTGGAATGGGCTGCCCGACTCCATACGATTGGCTACCTCTCTGTCATCTTTTAAAACTCTTCTGTATAATCATTTCTTAACCTTATCCTATCCTGATCAATCGTGACTTGTATAAGTTCATGTATTTGTATGATTAGGTTTTAAGTTTTTAGTCTGTTATTAATAATTTTTTTTGTATTACTTTGGATTAAGGTACTATATATATTATATATATTTTTTTATATAACATTTGGTTCTGCACTTCTCGCACGCATCATGTTTCTTTTTTTTTTTTCTTTTTCTCTTTAACTAGGGTTGCCTGGATGATATCGCTTATTAGCGATAAGGCCGCCCGTTGCATCCCTTATAATTTTTATGTATTGTGTTTCTCTTTTTTTTTTAGCAACGAAGTGTAAATAAATAAATAATATCGTTTTTTTGTTAATAACCTTTAGTTAAACTTTATTTAGGATTTCATTAAGGTATAAATAATATTAATACTTTTAAACTTTTTTGATTTGCCATTGCGAAAAAAGAATGGCAGTTTTACACATTAGGCCTCTTCTCTCTAGCGCCAATATTGCGAATCAGGATGTTAAAGCACTTTCTGATAAACATTTTTTGTTTTGCAATCCCACGCAAAACAGTGGTAGGTTTCTTTTATATGCGTAATTTTGTCGACAGATGGCACCACATGCTGTTTGCATTCGTAAAATTATTTAATTTATTTTTATTGGATAACTGATCCAATATTTTATTACATATTCAGCTTTTCGGAGCGGAGAAGATCCACCAAAAAAGAGATAACTAACATCGGTCCAGCCGATCTTGAGTTATAAGTGGTGTAATTAACACGACTTAGTTCTATATATTTATATTTGATACAGTCTCCTAGGAAGTTGTGTGCTGCGATATTGCGGTGGTTTGAGAGCAAAAATATAAATAAATTAGCAAGTGGTGCCGCACAGCATGGTAGGGTATTCCACTGTGGCGGGGTGCTGCAAAGGGTCAATCCATATGTGTGCTGCAGAAGCGGGCTGTTCGGGGTATTTGTTGCGTTTCCCCAAGGGAACGTAATAAGTTTAAAGAATTAAACATTATGACACTATCTGGTCAATATATTCTTGAAGCCTTGTTGTATGTCCAAAAAAATATAAACGATTTTAAAACAAATGGTGACTTTCACCAGTATAGTACGCACTAGCTTGAGTGTACGACCAACCAGGCTCCAGAAGATAAACCAATCTTTATATGGAAATTGTATTCGTTTTTACAACTAACTCCAAGCGAAATTAGAGAATTATCACTAAATAAATTCAAAGCTCTCGTTAAACGGAAATTAATCAACAAAGCTTTTTATAAATTTGAGGACTACTTAAATGATCCTAATCCTTGGGATTGAATTGCTCCAGTTCAAACAATTTGTATGACATAAAACTTGGCGATTAAAAAGAGTGGCGGAAAGTTTCTTGCCAGTTCTTCTTGCCCGCTCTACGCCCTTGACTTGCGAATGTAATTTTAGAATTAATTTGACTTCTTTTCTGACGTTCATAAGTTTACTTGTTTACCTATATGAATAAAGATATTTTGAATTTGAGTTTCGACTTTTTTAAAAAATAGTCTCAATTAGTAATACCTATCGTATTTGCAATGAGACATTCTGTAGATGTTTAAAATATGTTTTGTACCAGTATTTAGAATAACAGCTTCAAGATCTCATAACGCAGGCTGTAATTTCCCCGTACTAGACTATCTAAAGTTAGTAATTAATTTTTTGGGAAAAGGTATACTTTTATTTAATAAAATCCCAGAGGCTTCTTTATATACTACCTTTTAATAAATTTAAGAAATGCAAAAGCCGAGTAAAATGTCTTACTATAAAGTTAAAGATTATCTAGTTTGTACCTGGGACTAGTGCTAGACAGGCTACTTCTATTCGCGATATTTGTTTTAAAATAAGTGTTTGATGATTTGCTATTTTAAAAGAGTACCGAGAGTTTTTTCCGCCGGCTTTTTCTCTCGGCCTACACCCTCTCTTTGCCGATGAGTAGGGATGTCTACCGATTCAAATTTAATAAGTGATACCTATATCTTACATTCCACAATTACATTTTATTTTATTATATTTTATTTCATGCTGGAGGATTGGTTAACTCATTAAAAGTAATAAATGTTGAATGTTTTATTTTAATATTAATAATATGGTCAATTTAACAACTAAGTTGTGTACCAATTTGTCTTAGTCGTTCACCATATAAAGTCAATATTTACGTTACTCGAATATTAAATGTTTTATCCGAACAACTTAGTTCACATATCGACTTATGGTCTGGGTTTTTCAAATCTCGTCCTATACGGTGTTGGGATTTGAAACTTGGGCGATTTTGGCAAAGGATTAGTCCGATAAGAGTAGGCTGCTGATGTTAGACATTCCGCTGCAGGCGAGGTTCCTTTCGAGTCTTTACTCTCCTCTGGCTTACGGTATAGTGGAAAAGCATTGCATTTCGACTTCTGCTTCACTTCTGGTGCTGGTTGCGGTTGCTGTTGCGTGTAAAATTCAGGCTTAGGGATGTTTTCGGGCATCATGAAAGGCTCTACTTCAACAGGCTGGATTGGAACATTGTAGCACGGCCCACAGTTCTGGTTAGCGTTATGTTGCGATGGATAAAACGGCATGTTAGGATCAAATGTTTGCTGTGGGTAAGACCCCTGATACGGAGAGTAAGGGTTGTATTGTCCTGAAAAATCCATTGGCCCGTTGTGGAAACCACCAGGTACTCCGTGTGATGCAAATACATTCATTGGATCATGGAAACCACTAGCATTATAACCTAACGATCCACCACTACTTAAGCCGGACCCAAACTGTCCATACATGTCTACTGTTCCGTGAAATGGTCCAGGAACGCCAGACGCAAAAGGTACGCAGTGCGGATGCGACATTGTGTAATTGCTTGTATTACCATTTTCAAAAACGCACCCGCAGCACGGTAGACAGGGCCCGCATTTACAAGGAGCGATGCCGGGAAGGCCACACGGAGTTCCGGGACAGGGACCACCCGGTCCACACGGCCCACCAGGTGTCACGGGACCGCCACATGGGGTGCAGGTCCCAGACACATGATAAGGCCCGCAAAACCAAGTGCCGTACGGATAGTAGTAATAACCAGTCATATATTGGATGCACTTGGGTGGGCAATCGCAAGGTGGAGGGAGGCAGCTGCACGTTCCAGCAGCGTTTAAGGCCTGAGCAGCACAGAACCGAGTATAGCATCGGTATTGGAACAACGGAGGCCTGGCATGGATCGTCATGGATCGTGAATTTCTTAAGGTCGAAAAGCGTTCCGGAATTTTAGTTGATATGCATGGCGATGACATACTTCTGCGCGGTACAAAGGACTGCCTCGTGGTATTCGGGTTTAGCTTCATCTTCCTTACACTTGGCTCAGGGCGTTCAAATTGTTTCCGCGAGTATCCTCGGATGACTTTCTTCCAAGCGTTGTTAGCTGAAAGGATGATTTTATTTGTAGTGTTGTACGCCTACAGGAGTTTTCATATAAATAAAACGAAGTATTGTATATATTTATTTATTAAACATTTGGCATAAACTTTGATCACAACGTAGGCCTAAAGGGGATGGGATATTCCAAAAAAACGGGAAATATTTGGTGTTTACATGGCAAATATTTTTCTAATGTGTAAATCTTAATTATGTATTGCTTTCTTGTTAGACAATATCTTCGTATGGGCGAGGGAATGGATTTTTATATTGAGGTACAGACGAATAATTAAATGCATGAGGTCTTATGTTCGGTCTGTCCCTATTCTCTTTACTAGAAAGAAACCGTGGTCTATCGAGCTGAGGGCTTGGCTGTTTCTGGCGGAATCTTCTATGAAAAATTGAACTTCTTAGCGATCGCTTATTTCCGAATGATGTTATATTCCACTGTGATGTTTCAGGCGGAACATAAATATCGGGGATACAAATATCTTCCTGTGGGATGGGGCTTATTTTCATATTTGCCTCTGGCAACGTACAGGGGCTATAAACTATCGAAGACACGATTGGTGGGACAGGATTTCTAGGATTGTAGCCTGAAGGTTTTTGGATGGTGGGGAACAATCTTGACACACCACCTCGTTTTGGTGCTTCGCTAAGCGAGCCCGGGTTTTGGTTGGACTGCTGACCCATTCCAGAAGGGTTAAAGACGGTCCCTGCAGGGCAAATGCATGCGCAAGGACAGCATTTACCGCAAGGGACACAGCCAGGCTTTGGAACCGGTACACAAGTTCCACTAACGTGGTAAGGTCCGCAAAACCATGTACCATAGGGATAGTAGTAATATCCAGTCATGTATTGGATGCACTTGGGTGGGGTGTTACATGGTGGAGGAAGACAACTGCAGCCACCTTTACAACCACAGGGTCCACAAGGGAATGGACAGGGGCACCCGGCATTGCCTGCATACGATCGAAGCGATGTGTATGTCCCATTTATTTGTTGACGGCACACAGGTAAAGTATTTAGAGAACTATTGGGTTTCAGGGAACTTAAATGAGAGGTACTAAAACCCCTAATGGGCACGAATATTTTGTTAGGGCTAAACGCAAGAGTAGGGCTGGATAACGTATGTCGAATAGTCCTGGTCTTCCTACTAGCGGCGATGCTCTGCAGCGAAGGAAACCTGCTATACCTCTTCACCTTAGCTTGACCCATGGTATAGGACTTGTGCCGTAATCTCCGTGGTAACTTTAGTGCTGCGGCTGTAACGTATTTTATCTTGTACCTATTGGCTTAACGCGGAAAATGAATTTCTTTTAAGAATAATCAAATACTATGATAATGAAAGTAATTACAAAGAAAACGAATCACTATTGTATATAGAATTTAATAAGTGTAACAAAAAATACATAGATGTTATGAAATATTAATAATCAGTTCACTTTAATAGAAGTTGGCATTCTTGGTTGGCATACTTTTTTGTCATCTTTGGCTTGGCCCTGTGGCGTTTGACTGGGAGTGAGCGGCTGGACTGGTGGTGTCGAAGCTGCGACAGCTATGGCTTGAGACCCACACATGGGGCACACTCCACCTTCACATTTCTTGACTGGGCCAGGCCTTGGACATGGGCAGGGGCAGCAGGGTCCGCAGGGCCCACAAGGACCGCAGGGTCCGCAAGGTCCACAAGGTCCGCAAGGGCCGCAGGGTCCACAGGGTCCTGGGCAGCGACATGGTCCACATGGCCCGCAAGGTCCACACGGCCCGCACGGCCCACACGGTCCACAAGGTCCACACGGCCCACACGGTCCGCAGGGACAAGGGCAGCGACAGGGTCCGCAGGGTCCACAAGGTCCGCAGGGTCCACACGGCCCGCAGGGTCCACACGGTCCGCAGGGTCCACACGGCCCGCACGGACAAGGGCAGCCACAAGTTGGTGCATCTTTATCCTTCTTATCACTGAAGTATCGTTTGGACATCTGATCGCCATTACATAGCCACAACCTCGCATCACAAGCCCGGTTTATTTTTGCGCCGCGAGCCGCCACTGAAAAGACATCCAGAATATAATACTCATCGACTACAACCGCTGGTGATCAGTGCTATTCGAAGAACGAACGGCTTCAGTCGAGTATTATAGGCTGGAAGTCGTAGTCAGTGGCCTCCGTTCTCCGAAATAACACGAAAGTCACCAGCGGCAACTACCAGAAACGCGCCCCAGAAAAAATGAAAAACGTTTTCACTATTGTCAAAACTGACAGCACAGAAATTTTCTAGCTAATTCCTCTGCTCGAAATTAAAATAAAGCTGCAATATTTAATCTAAGAAAATCTAATTTAGATATGATTGAAATGATTCAAAATTCCTTTTTATACTATAATAACGAATTATTAAATTACATAAAGTGAATGACGCAACTAATTACTTAAATGAGTTATAAAAATATTTTACTCACATAGAACTGCTGGGTTTTTCCTGAAGCTGGCCGAAGCCATGGGCCGCCCCTTCATACATTTCAGTAAAGAAATGTTTTTGGGTAAAACTGATTTTCTAAGCATTAAAGCCATTATTTCCGGTTATTTAAATTATTTACTTGAGAATTTAGAAAATATTGCTATTGTAGTACTTGAAGATTTAGGCCATGTTAGAGGGACAAGCTAGCCGTGCCGGAACAGAAGCAGTTGTGAGAAAATCGAATTCTATTTTTTTTCATATTCTTCTTTTTGATTTTCTTTTTCGAATATTCGATTTGCCCACCTGCAAGGAGGTTTGTTATGTGGCTGTATTTAAGCGTGGTGTACATAATCAATGAACTTTCTAGTAATATTATTGTCTTTTAAATGGATTACATAAATTAATTGCTACGTTTTAACTAAACTGCGTTTTAAAAATATTTCAATTTTAAAGGTTTTATTTTACTTAAAATATTTTACAGATAAAAAAGAATATATATTTTATTTATATTCCCTGTGTTATGGGCAGCCAGTCCCTTCCTTTTGACATGTTAACTGTACTTGACAAACAGTTCTACGTGACACAATTTTTATTTTTTTTATTTATAACTTTTGCAGAATAATGCCGGCTATACACATAACGATTTATCCGTGGAACGATTTACGCAGATTTAGCGATCGTGTTTATGAAAAATCCTTGTAGATTATCGTTCATTGATGGCTGTTGCAATTTCTATTAGATAAATCATTGTCGATTACGTTTGTACAGTTTTATCGTAGCGTGATAAATAGCGCGTGGATAACGCGCTTTATTTAATAATATTAAAACTACCTATAAAAAAGGGGGTTAATAAAATTAATAAATTATAAAAAAAACGTGTGCACTTGGGGCCTGCCGCGGTAAAGCTATTGCATAGCATTTTTTTATTTATGCAGTATTTCTTTTTCTTTGATATTAATTTAAACGACCACTCTACCAGACTCAGACTAACACGCCTATATAATCTGTCTCACTCTAACGCGTACCGGCTGCAAGGGCCGCGCTTACGCTATGTTACCGATCTCGTCAGAGAGATGTGAATACGCAGTATGCGTTCTATCCCACTCTAACTCACCTGTGCTACATCACCGATCACGCCAGACCGAGGTGAGATGCAGTTTTCGTTCTTTCCTGCTCTAACGCGTGTTGGCCGCACCTATATTACGTCGTCGTGTGTTAGGTTTTTATTTTCGTTATGGAATTTCTTGATTCGGTCGCCGCACTCAAAGCCCGCGATAAAATCTTTGCAATAGCTTAGTTCGTAGCTTAATATTATTAAATTATAATAAATATCGCAATGCATCATCTTTTTCCATCCTGAATGACATGTTTCTTGCGTAAGCTTCTGCGGAGAACTGACGATTGACGCCGATATCGGAGGCGTATGGAGACACTAGGAACGGTCGATTTATCTGCACAGTCTGAAATCGCTGCGATATATCGTTACGTGTGGAGCCGGCTTAAGAATATTTTCTGTATCAGCATAGGACAGGTTGACAAGATGTTGTTTAAGATTTTTTTGTGAATGTATGTAATGTGAGTTTTGAAATGTACGTGAAAATTTTGTTTTTATGATTGTTCATGTTCTCGGAAAGAGAAAAAGCGTTGGGCGAAGAAATTGCGTCTTTTTGGTTGCTTGGAGTTTGCGTTGTGTACGATGTGGTGTGTTCGGCGTTTGTTTCCAAAACAATTTTAATTTTGATAAAGAGTACCGAAAAGGTTTCCTTAAGGCCCTATTACAGCACGAATTACTGTGTCAGTGTCTCGGGGTGGACTGCGGGGCGAAGTGGAGAGCTGGAGCACTGAGGCGCGCCGGCCCGTAATAACAATTAGTTATGTAAAACATTAAATTCATGTAATTTTATCAATTTATTTTTCTGAAATATGTATGAAATATGTCGTGTAAATTTCAAAATCATGTTCTACATACATTTTCGTCATAAAATGAATTTAAAGTGTCAAAAATTGGCTATGTTTGAATTTTTTTTGTATCGAGCGAAGTTATTTAAATCGTTTATCGATCTTTCGAAATGGATACATAAACTACTCAACTCCACCATATATATTTTTTCCAGTCTCTCATCTCTACTTCAAGAAACGATGACGAAAAATGGAAAGAAATAATGTACTTTTTTGGAGTTTGGCGACCAGGTCGGTCCTTAAGGTACACTATCTAAAGAATGACGTTAGGTACGCTCAATTTTCAGCATTGAAAATGATTATTGTAGTCTGGACCTATCTGGACCACTGGACCAGTTCCGAATACGCCTGCGATGTTTTTTGGTAGATGGACTCAAAAATTGTACGACAGTGGCATGACATATTTTACATTTTGTTTTTAATATTTTCTCATATAAGTGTGTTTTTAATGAGAATAAACTTCTTCAAACCAAAATGTGTCCACTTAGTTACTTTCACCTGTATAATACTCGAAACAGCATTAATCTAAGCGTACGACCAACCAGGTTCCAGAACATAAACCACTCCTTATATGGAAATTGTATTCGTTTTTACAACCCAAGCGAAATTAGAGAATTCACTAAATTAATTTGACGATTAATTAAATGATCCTAATCCTTGGGATTTATTTGCTCCAATTCAAACAATTTGTATGACTCAAATCTTGGCGATTAAAAAGTGTGTCGGAGAGTTTCTTGCCCTGTCTACGCCCTTGACTTGCGAACTGATAGTAAATGTAAATTTAGAATCAATTTAACATGACTGTTGACGTTCGTAAGTGTACTTGGTTACCTATATTAATAAAGTTATTTTGAGTTTCAGTTTAAATCATCTTCAGTGCTAGATAATGAAAGTAAAGTTTGAGATATTGCAAACTTTAATTGTGGTTTAATTGAACCATATGAGAGACTCGGACCTCGGCTTGGGCTGTCGCGGGGTGGTCAATCGCCTGAAGGGCAGGACGGAAGCTCACTGGAGTGAGAGAAGTGCGAAGTAAAGGTCCACGGCTTCCCTGCTGAAGGCGGTCTTTTACCCTAGACTATTCATTTGTTCGTTATAATGTGTCGGGGCTAATTAAAAATGATATCTTAATATATATAAATTAAGCTTACGAAGGGGGTATATGACCCGAACGGGTCAAAGCTCACCCCTCTCGAGGGAGTGTGCAACACAAACCACACGTTCGCGTTTGTCGTGTAACCACTATATTTTCTATAAAAAATTACACATTATTGTTTTTTTTTTAATTCGCTGTTTTGTATTCCTACCTAATTGCTATTTTTGAATTTAAATTGTTTTGTATAAGAGCACTGTTGGCCTAGTGGCTTCAGCGTGCGACTCTCATCCCTGAGGTCGTAGGTTCGATCCCCGGCTGTGCACCAATGGACTTTCTATGTGCGCATTTAACATTTGCTCGAACGGTGAAGGAAAACATCGTGAGGAAATCGACAGACCCAAAAAGTCAACGGCGTGTCAGGCACTGGAGGCTGAAGCTTGCCTATTAGATTTAAAACAAGATCATGAAACAGATTCAGAAATCGGAGGCCAAGACCTAAAGAGGTTGTAGCGCCACTGGTTTATTATTGCACGCCTCGCAGTGCTCTACTCTCGACATGTCAAAAAACCCAGTCTTTCGAAACTTGAAAGACTTTTTTCTCACTAATATAACACTTACAGGATAATATGAGTGCACTAAAATCGAGTTAAATAATCTATCAAGGACATATGGTATTTTTTATGAACAATTATTTTGTTTAACATAGTAAATAATAACATTAAAATCAATCATTCTTGGACGTCCGTCAGTCTGTGTTTATGGATCCATGTATGTGGCAGAGAAATTGGTCGAAAAATTTATCGTACCAGAATACTTTTTTTCTTATTATATAAAGTAATACCCTGGGGTGATTCCTAGTTAATAATAGCGTTCTAAGTACTGTCGTTTAATTATAATTTGTAAAAAACTAAAATACGACTGTTCCTCACCTTACGAGTTATGGCGCCACTAAATATGTATGTTTAAATATTCTTCGTAGCGTGAGACTTAAAGATAATAATTTATTTGTTACTTTGTTTTAAAAAACTTGAGTTTTTGTTTTAGAATTTTTTTTTAAATGTGAATGACCGCTATGAGGCGTGCACTTTTGGATTTTCCAAACTATTTTTATTGTATATTCGCGGACGTTTGGGGGCCCATTCAGCTTCGATACATAACGTCCCCTCATGATTTGTCTGCCGTGATATCAAGGGCTACACAATTCTGAGGAAGTTGAATGTTACTGTCTGGCGCCTACTTGTTCTCATGTAATTTTCTCACGTGTATATCTTATTTCTAGCATATTACATACGTGACATATCCTATCAACTCGAAGTACCAGTGGCGTAACTATACCATTTGCGCCCCATGGCAAATTCTTTTGATGAGGCCCTATCAGTAAAAGACGTCACGTTGTACTCAGTTTAATTTTAATAAACTTCGAGATTTTCAGCGTACTCAATTACACGTTGTATATGTCCCACTAATGGCCATAGGCCTCCTCTCTTAGGCGAGAGGGAATGGTCTGTAGTCCCCACGCTAGCCCAATGCGTATTGGAGACTTCACATTCATCCATAGAACATAATATCTCTTGGCTCCGGGCCCGTGGCCCGGGCACTGCGAAGTACGTCGTTTCACAATTAAGCGGTATTTAAGGCAGTTTTTGCCGCCACCACTATGAAGTATTTCCGAACCAATTCGACTTAGGGTCCTATAAGAAAAGAGCGTACTAATTCTTAAAAGCCTAACAACGCACTCGCGAGCCCTCTGGCACTCTCAATGAGTGTCCATAGGTCTCATTTAACATCAGGTGAGCTTCCTGCCTATTCGTCGCTGTAGAATAATATGTATGTCCAGAGAACCAACCATTACAGGAAACGAAATGTTTTAAAATATTATTGTGTGAAAAGGACTTATTTATTAATAACATTAATAAGTCCTTACTTCAAGATTATACCAACAACAATAAACTACAAGCTCCCTCCTTATCAGAAGTCCAAATCATAAAATGACTGCTTCACGACTGATTTGAGCGCGACCGCCGCTGTAAAAACCCCTGTGTGAGTTCGAAAAGTGAGTTACAGAATCGCAATGCCATAACGCGTCGAAGAATAAAAAATAAATGGGTTTTTGACATACGAGGTTATAATTCTACAGTGACGTATTGCTTTTCTATTTAAAAAAAAAGAATTTTACACGTACTTACGTACGTACTTCTTTTTCCAAGTTTGATTGACATTCGACATTGTCACGATTTACTTACGTTGGTGTGAATTATGACAGCCGTATCTCGGAAACGCATAGAGTATAGAACTAGATGAGCTTCTAAAATAACAATAATAACTAAAGAGAGAAGGCATTAACGTGAAATACTTAAGTGCGAGCGAAACAGAGTATCAGTTTTTCTGTCTCTATTTGCGTATCGGGTTTTATTTGTTTACCACCGAGCCCTTGGTGGTAAACAAGTTTTCACCGCTTACTGATAAATCGGTGAAACCCAAGTCAAACCCATATTTTAAGACTTTATCCTTATAAGAGGTGTATTTAAAGTGTGAATTGAATTTAAAAGTCGTGGTGAATTGTTGCATAATTGGCTGTAAAAGCTATAGTGAACGTAAAGAACCAAACATAACCTTTCATCGGTAAGTAGCTTATTTTGTCACGACTCAGTAACTTTGTTCAAAAATTATTCATTCGAATGTGTATTTTGTTCAATAATAAGCAATCTTCAATGAATTAAAACTGTAAATATGACATATGTCGATCATTCGCTATCTCACACGCTGTACGCTGATACCCGGTCTATACCATAGTCCGTCTACGCGGAAACGTTTTGAATTTGACATAATTCGTGTCAGACATGCGTCAAAGCTTCACCAATATGGCCGACAGTCGAGAAAGAAAACGCCAAATCAAGAAAATACTTTTCAAATACACAATAAAAAAACTGTGATTTTAGTCTTGCATTTCTGCGTTTCATCTCTCATCATCATGAGTTGTATGTGGTGGCTCCACATCAGCGTGTTCTTCACCTTGACTTTCGTCGTTATAGTGGTCTCCATTGTGACCCATTCCACCCCCCATCAGATTCTGAAAAATTAAAATTTTCTTTTAGGTTAATTATGATTATGAAAATCTCCTACTCCGCGGGCAGACACACTAAGTTCAATTTGAAAGGCAAGAAGTTTAAGCCGCGTATTCATTATGCAAGTACTTGTTTGCAAGTGACTTGAATTGGAAACACGATTTTGTTCAACTTGCAGCTTGCATAGAAGTCAGTTCACTTAGTTCTCCTAATTGCACAGTGTTTATCATGAGTAGAAGACGTACTGCGGTAAATATTAAATTAAATATATATGTAAATTAAAAAAGTCAAACACAACACTATAAGTAAAACTCATCGAGCGAGTTTGCTTATCTTGCCGAAGCCGCGTACAAATTATTGGAAGAAGTCTATGAAGTATGAGGGTGTGCAATTAATCAATTACCGTTTAAAATTCGTAATAGTAGCGCGTTTAACCAATTCAAAAGGGCATTAAATATATATATCAGAATGAGCCTACGGGACGGCTGATGGCGACGTGTCGTTCGTATATATTAAGTTTCTCATGTAAAATAAAATACATTTTTTTTGTAATGAAAAATAAAGTTCTTTAATATAATTATTGTTCCACTAAGTTTCACTAAGCTGAGTGCTGAGTGGGATTAATATAATTATTAATCCCACTCAGCACTCATTTTTACAAGGTAATCCTTCACACTCCCCTCTATAGACGAGCGCATGCGCTTGCGCTTCCAACTTGCGTGCAAATGAGCTGACTAGAGTGTTGTGCGTATTTGAACTGTACGCACAATAACAACTGTACAGATACCGGCAAATATCTTGAACAAGTGTCCTTGCCTGCGCAGAAGCGATTTTTAGGTATATTTATTTATAGGACGATAGTAGGGAGGATAGTATATTTTAGTTATAGGACTAGAAGGGGGGTGGCGGCGGGAGAGTGACGTGTCGATAGCGTGATTGGAAAATCAGTTGACGTTTGCGTCTGGAAAATCAGTTGACGTTTGTTGTTGTTGTGTTTATGTCCCGCACGTCCCGTACGATTCGCAAAACTTTCCCCCACTCCCTTGTTTAATGCTCAAAAAGTTTGCCGGTATCTGTACTGTGAAGGAAAACAATCTGAAAACCTTGTTAGACACAGATCACCCACTTGCCTATTAAGAACAAAAATCTGAAGAAACCCAGACAGAAATCTGCATCCAAGTGACTTGTAGCACCATTGCTTATTTTATTAGTCCAGAAATTCGTGGATATTTCATACTTTGCCGATTTTACTGAAACTTGGACTGTTTCTTAATTAAATATATTTTAGTTTTAAGAGATTTGTGAACATCATCATACTAGTAACCAATTACAGAAGTACCACATGCTTTTTTTTAAGTATTTACCTGACAGCACGAACAGAGGAGACAGCTGAGACAAGCCATGCATGATGCACAGCACGCCATATCTGCGATACCAGGTGTTGGTGGTGATGCTGTGGAGGAATGAACTATGTACCATTTTTCGTAGTACAATATATCATCTATACTAATATTATAAAGAGGTGATCGTTGGCCTAAAGGCTTCAACGTGCGACATCCCTGAGGTCGTAGTTTCGAACCCCGGCTGTGCACCAATGGACTTTCTTTTTATATGCGCATTTAACATATGCTCGAACCGCTGAGGAAGTGAGGAAACCGCTTGCCTTAGACCCAAAAAGTCGATGGCGTGGACACAGGAGACTGATCACCTACTGGCCTATTAGATTGACAAATGGTCATGAAACAGATACATAAACGTGAGGCCCAGACAATGTAAATTTTGAATCAATTTAACATCTTTCCTGATGACGTTTATAAGGGTCTGTTTCACAATGTATGGTTAAAGTACCAAATAGGTATGCAACACATAAATTATTTGGAAGATAAATTGTGCTATTTGACATTCATCGGACTCAAAACTTATGATAGACCTTATGTAACGAATAGCGCTATCTGACAGTTGTGAAACGCAACAATAGTGTTTATCTTACAAATAAGTAATAAATAGCTAATTTGGAACTTATGTAGAACTTATCCATACATTGTGAAACAGATCCTTAGTGTACTTGGTTGCCTATATGAATAAATTTAAAAAAAAAGATGTTATTTCATTTAATCAAGGTTGTTTGTTACTTAGTACTTACTTACCCGGCCGTGAAATACGAAATCATCGCATTACCGTATACAACCAAATGCTAATTTAACATGCCTATCTATATACATATAATTATTAAGATGAAATGTTTTTGTCTCGCTAAAACTCGAGAATGGCTGGATTTGGCTAATTATGATCTTGAAATATTTGTGAAAGTTAGAAGGTTTAAACAGTATGAAACATTTAGTAAATCATAAACCTATTAATATAATATTTTTCTATCAAATATAGAGTGGTTTTAATTGACAGTATATTTTTAATTGAAGCACTAAAACTGATATTAAAGATATTTCTTGTTGGTGTTCAAGTGGAATCGAAAATCGTTTAGAAGTCAATACGATGTTTTTTTATAATTTAATACCTGTGTACAGAACACTGTCAGGTCCGCAAGTATTATATAAAAACAAGTCCTCCGCCTCATCTGTGTGGTGCACTCATGATGATTCATAAGAAAGGTATACAATATTTTCAAGGTTGGGTCGCTGTTACCCGTGCTATGATATGAACGCGCTTTACTCAAAAACTATTGAATGGATTTTTATATAGTTTCTATCAATAGATAGTCTGATTCCTCAGGAAAGTTTAGGTATGTAATTGTTTATTGTTTTAGCACGGAATTTATTGCAGTCACCAATAGAATAGTGTTTACGGGTCACTTCGACTCGTGCGAATGCCTATGTCTGATATGATCGCGCTTTACTCAACAATTACCGAACGGATTTTTGTACAGTTTTTACTAATAGATAGTATGATTCCTAATGAAGGTTTAAGTGTATAATTTTTCAAGGTTTAGGTCAGATTTCATGTAAATACGTGTCCAGCCAAGAAAACAAAAAGAACGCCGCGTGTAACATTTAACTTACTTTTTACCTCTTTTACAACTCATATAAACATAATCTGGCACTTTTAAGTTATAATTATTTAATTAATCCTAAATTAACATGTATGCTTAAAATATACAAGAATATATGACTTAACAAATTTTACATACATACACATCAATTGCTCTCTACAACATACTTGAGGAACAATGTGCTCATCAGCATAATGCTGAGCCAGGGCCAATTACAACCACAGCACACACATATTACACAAATCTTGTTCTTTAAAAGAAAAAAAATATTATCTTTCATTCCTTTTTATATTTTTTATTATTGTTATGTGTGTGTGTTTTGTTAAAGATAAATGTTATGTCCATGTCAAATTTCGCTTAAGAATGAACATACTTAAAAATCGGTCTAAAAATGTACTAAGGGCTAACCGATTCTTAACTCTAACTGAGCGAGTTACCTGGATATCCCGACCCATGTCCAGGGTGCCCGGGGTAACCCTGGGCTGGATATCCTGGTGCCCCTGGGTACCCGGGCTGTCCCTGCATAGGATACTGGTAACCAGGAGGTGCTTGTTGATAGTTCGGTGGGTACTGCTCGAAGACAAATAAAAATTAATTCTTGGCTCAAAACTTTTTTTTATTTCACAGCGCAGCGCTAGCACAAATAACATATGTACAGTGTTAACTCTTTATAACGACATGCGATGTGACGAAAAACTCTCTATAACGCAAAAATTAATTAAATTTATTTGGTGTAACCCAATACCCATACATTAATTCTTCCCTTCGTGCCTATCGAAAATGCCCGGTCCCTTGAAATTCGTTATAAAGAGATTATACTGTATTTAAATTGTCTTATTCCATTAGGATGACAAAACTTAAGTTTTATATTCTATTATTATTTATAATTATATGTACAGAGTGGCCAAAAAGTCGTGGATCAAACGAAAATAGGGGATAGATGAGGTCATCAGCTGCAAAAAATTGTTCTACGGGAGGTCTCTAAGCTCAACCCCTGCAGTTATAATTTATTTTGTGTTTTATGATAAAATTTACTTTTTTTACTAATTCTCAATAAAATTCGAAAAAATCTACACCTGTATCTTTTCCATAACATCCACTAGATTGGTACTGATGAGTCCTTGCGTTAGATATACTATTTATAGTTGTTTATTGAGTATATTGAAGATAATATTAAGTTATACGATATAATTTTTTTTTCAAATCAAAACTTTTTGTTTACTTCCGACCCCACTGTGAAAAAAAATTACTCTACCGAAAAGTGACCCTGTATTACAAGCTTTGGCGCATATACAAGATGGTATGCTATAATAATGAAGGCAGTCCAGTAAAAAATTGTATCAAATATCATCATATGAAAATTATCAAAATCTGAAGTGAAAAAGTTCTATATTATCACTGAAATACTGGAAGAAAATGTTGGACCTTCAAAACACATTTAATTATCGTTTATGCCGATATTTTTATCGTTTAAACTGAAACTAGCTGGTGTCTAATCCTGCGCGACTTCGTCTGCGCATGATTAAAATAATATTTGTATTTTATCTACTTTAAATAACAAAAGCGATTTACCACTATTTAGGCTATAATGGCTTACACATAAGATATAGATATATATATTTAAGATAAACATTTCCATCATACATTACATATGTGTAACTCTAGCAGTTTTGACAGCGCACGCCAGAGTTGCTCACAGATGGTAGATTTTTTTCCTATTTTACTTTAGTTTGGACAATTCACACAATATCTTTATAAATTATAGTCTAAGTGTTACTCTGATGTATAAGCTATATTATTGTAAACTTTCATTAAAATCCATGCAGTAGTTTTTACTTAAAAGAGTAACAAACATCCATACATACTTACAAACTTTCGCGTTTATAATATTAGTAAGATTCCTTACCATCCCCTGTTGATTATATGGCGGTGGAGATACATTTGCAATGTTTTGTGGATCTGTACGAACAAAAATAAATTTCGTGAAATAACTTCTTTTTGCGACATATAATTATACAATAACAAAAAAAAGTGCGTGCGTACAAAGTACACATAATAGTGAAACTTCTTTGGCAAACAAATTTTTAAGTCTTGTTCATATTTATACAAATCTAAAACTTTAGATTTCTGAGACTTAGAGGGAGGGTAGATATGTTAGGATTTTATTGAATTTAATTGTTATTAAAATATTAAGTGTCGAAAATTAATACAAATTATAAATTTAATTAATTTCTTCGATAAAACACGTGGCATTTTAATTTACAATTCGTCAGTTGAGATTTCAATAAATTATTTTGAGGTAATTCACCCTACTCACTCTCTCTCAATCGGTCTCAATCGAACTCTCCCTTTCGACAAAAACGCTGCACATTTTAGTGATGTTCCGTAAAATATTTTACCCTCATGCGCATAAAGAAGTTTCACTTCAAAAATAATTAAAAAATATAATTACCAAAGTCACGATTGAACACGAACATCAGAAAAGGTTATTTTCGCGTTTGACCTTTATCGAAGAATTACGATTAAAAATAATAATGTATGTGTTTTTGTAAATATATACATTATTAATAGTTATTTATAATACGAATCAACGAGAAAACACGTATGACATATCCATTATAATTGTGTTAATTATTAATGATAATAACAGACTTCCTCTATCTTTTTTCCATACTTTTGTAATTTTTCTTTTTTTATAATCATTACTATTATTTTGTGTGTTTCGTTAGTAATAAATGTTGTCTATACTTAGTCCGGCCATAAATACTGTTACAATTAAAGATAAACAAAATATTACATTTGAATTTGGAATCTATCATATTTTTTATATTATTGTCCTTGAGTTTTCTCATTTTGGCGCCAATACAGTGTAGTTTTGCAATTTTAAAATGGAGTGGGATGATAAAGAGAACCGAATCGCTGTGATTGCATTACACAAAGTAGGTATGGAGCCAAATGCAACTTTTAAAACTCTCCATACGCTTGGTATTAGTCAAAAATCTGTGTACCGGGTTATTAATATGAGACCTTCTCTGTTTGTTACAGAAAAAGATCTGGCCGTCCACTTATTGTTCGTACGAAAAAGGTGGTCAATGCAGTAAGGGAAAGAAATCGAAGAAATCGGCAAAAGGCCTTCGGACAGGATTTTATCTCGGGAGATGAAGATAGAACCTAGAACCATGTCGCGTATTTTAAATGATGACTTAGGACTTGTAGCCTATAAGAGACGTAGTGGTCATTTCTTTACTGATAATTTAAAAAAAGGGTGCGTGTACTTATGTACGCGCGGAAGAAGTTATATGTACTTCTTTGGCATTATTAAAAATAGTTTTTGATTGCATGCAAATAATTAATTACAATTAAATAATCAAATACTGGAAAAGGAGTCATTATAGTCAATAAAGTTCAGTTTACATTTGAAAAATTAAATAAATAAATATTTATTATTATTCTCTTACATTAAGTGTAACATAAATTCTATTATTATTCGAATGTTGTTTTTAAATTATGTACAATGCCGTAGCATCTTCCGTTGGCAACTTCATACTGATAATTTTGTGTCACGGTGCGCGCGCATCGTAAAATTTCACTCTCATCAATTTTTCATAACGCGCCTAAAGAAGTATAACTTCAAAAAGAATAGGGTGGTAAAATCTAAACAACAACCAAAGCGGCACGCAAAGGGAGGTCACAAACGCCACAAGTGTATCAAGATACCATTCTTGAGAAGGTAGTGAAGTTTCTTAACAACACCATGTTCAATAACCAAGAATGGTCCTTCCAGCATGACTCGGCGCCGAAGTCAACGTTTCGGACTTCATCAGAGCTGAAGACTGCCGTCGTCAAGTCCCGATCTTAATGCGCTGATTTATGGTCAGTTTTAGAGTACGGCTTGCTCTAAACGCCATGATAATTTAGAGTCCCTAAAACAATCCGTACGATTGGCAGTGAAGAATTTTCCCATGAATGAAGTGCGTGCGTTTATCGATAACTGGCCTCAACGTTTAAAAGACTGTAGCAGCCAATGGAGACCACTCCGAATAAGCTTTTTATATTTTAAATTGTTTTATATTTATGTATTAAACTAACACACTGTAAACATTGATATACAAAAAACCCAAAATGCACACTCAACGTCTAAAAAATGAGCGCAACATTCTAAATTGTGCGCTCATTTCAAATAGTCTCGCGTCTAATAAGTGGAGTCGATATTATTTATTTGTGTTTTTTTTTATATAAATAAACTAGTAGACTCGGCCAAGCGTTGCTGTGGCTAAGGTTTTTGTTACAGATGTTAAATAGTATCTTATGTGAAACGTGGTACTTTCAACACAGCGCGGCGCCATCTGTTAGAATTGTGATTTGTGACTGTCAAATAATAACAGACAAATAATTAGCAATAAATTAAAATTGCGACTATAATTTGAGATTTAAACTATCCTATCTCTCAAGTTGGATCGAACTGCACATGGTGTGCAAATTTGATTGATATCGGTTCGGTAGTTTAGGAGTCAATTGAGGACAAACATTGTGACACGAGATTTATATATATTAAGATTTATGTACTTTTGAACTTTTGTGTGTAGTTTTTGACAAATATATTTACGCTATATAAAGTGTAGGTCAGGAGGTAGCCAATTTAACATTTTTTTTTAATTTATAGAAAAAACTTTTTAACCGGATTAAAGTTATGTATTATTATAAATTTACAACTATTTAACATCCAACACCGTGACCACGCACGCTGTAAAGCACCCGAAAAGTCGGATAAATTTAAAATTATGTTAAATAGTTGTAAATAAAAAAGTCATGTTCGACTCCACTCAATACCTTGTCCTACCGACCACGGTCGGTCGTAAAATTTTGTTGCTTTAAGTACACTGCGTTGTAATAACAACCTTAAACAATTCGCATAAGGTTGATTTTGCAATAATATATGCTTGTAACATATACTGTTATAGACATACTGTTATAGGAAGGGACAGAAATAGTGTTTCGGGACACTTTCGAGCGTTACTTTTATTCGAGACTGCGCATCTTGGGTTTTTGAAGTGAAAACTTCTTTAGCGGCTCTGAGCACTTTTTGTATGGGTAAAAACTTTCAAACTTGCGTCAGGGTCACGTGATGCTGATCGAAAAAGCGTAAGATCGAGGGGAAGGGAGAGGAACTAGTATCTCCCACTCTTTCTACCGTGCCTGAGTGTGCTGCTCTGTTTAGGCGGCACAGGGCGCTTGCGCGAATGACCGTGTGTGTTTATGTACAGCGTCCCACGCGTATCCAAGGATGGTGACAGCTGATTGCTTGACTGTTGTGTAGTAAATACACTGTTGTGTATTCGTAAATGTGAATTGTTTAAATTATGGAAATCGAACAAAGTGAATCTATTAATGAAAAAAGTGATGATGAAGTAGTGAAAGCAAATGAGTACGGTCTTTATTAGACACTTAAATAGGTTCGAATCAAAACTGTTTGTTTCTTACTTCAGTTATCATAAACCAATTGTATCAGTTGTAAAAATTTGCGATGATGATTCTGATAATAACGATGGTGTAAAAGTCGTCGAAATTATGGATGGAAGTTGATTTTTCTGAGAGATAAAATTTAATGTAATATATAAATAACGATATAATATTATAAATAACAACATATAAATTGTCATATTTGTGTACGATAGCGCAATAAATAAACATTGTATTCTACCTCATAAATGATAGTACTTTTATACTTATAATTAAACACAACGTTAATATTGAAGTTTTCACTTCTGTCGGCACTCCCGGAGTGCTCCCGTTGTTTTTTTGTATATCAATGACTGTAAAAGTAATAAATGTTATTGGCAATAGACAATTTTTTTTCTTTGTTTCAGTATTTATGGCAAGACTAGGTATATACGAGGTGTTAATTAACGGACGTGACCTTTTTTATTTTCCTACCTTGCCCAACAGGCGATTGCTGTCTCGCATCTGGTGAGCCAAATGGAGTCTGCCCCTGCCCGAATGGAGTCTGTCCTTGCCCGAATGGAGTCTGCTCGAATGGAGACTGTCCTTGCCCGAATGGAGTCTGTCCTTGCCCGAATGGAGTCTGCCCTTGCCCAAATGGACTCTGCCCGAATGGAGACTGTCCTTGCCCAAATGGACTCTGCCCGAATGGAGATTGTCCTTGCCCAAATGGACTCTGCCCCTGCCCGAATGGAGACTGTCCAAACGGGCTTTGTTCCTGTCCACCAAAACGCGGGTGGCCCTGTGGCGGTCGTGGCTATAAAAAAAAAACATTATCCATAATTATTCTGTACCGATACTTCAAACATCATGTAGAGGAAGGATGCTAAACCATTCCTCCAACCTAAAGCGAGGGACCCGTACCACTGACTGACCTGAAGCCCCAAGCGCTTTTTTTATGGAATCTCGCTAATGGCATTGGGGGCCTTGACAGCTCAGCCCGGGCTGTTATGGCGAGCGTAGCTCGTCCGGACCCCCCGTGGCTAATAAGTTGTATTCTTAGTTGGAATAACTTAGGGTACACACCACCGGATGAGACACCGAGGCATAGACAGATAACGCAGCTCTATAAGCAGGTCATCTCGCCGTCTGCGGACCTACCCTGCGATTCTGTCTCAAATCAGTCGTGAAGCAGTCATTTTATGATTTAGCATTCTAATAAACAATAAACTACAAGCTCCCACCTTTTCAGAATGCCAAATCATAAAATGACTGCTTCACGACTGATTTGAGAGCGACCGCCGATGCGAAAACCGCTGTGTGAGTTCGAAAAGTGAGTTACAGAATCGCAGGGCTGGACTGCGAGCCACAAATCTACCCGACGCCCCTGACAACGGATGAACCAAGATAACGATTAAGACGAGTCGCGTCCGAAGCTCATTTTACACTCGCTCAGTGCCGTCCTGTATCAGCAGGGCGTAAACACATCGCCAGCGGGTTCTCTGACATACAGGCCGATGTCCTCACGTAAGTCACTACGCGCGTTTCAGGGTAACGGTATCGCAGATGGATAGGTGGCTACACTCTCTATTTGATCTATACTGCAAGCCTACTACACAACATTATTTTTTTTTTTTTTGAAGACAATTCACACCAATTGACCTAGTCCCATGCTAACCTGGTGAAGCTTGTGTTATGGGTACTAGGCAACGGATATACATACATATTATAGATAGATAGACATATAAATACATATTTAAACACCCAAGACCTAAGCACAACACCAAATGCTCATCACATCGATGTTCGTCTCAGCCGGGGATCGAACCCGGGACCCATGGCTTCGCAGTCAGGGGTACTAACCACTAGACCAATGAGTCGTCCCTTCTTAGTGTTATTTGTTAGGTTATATATAAACCATTTGAAGTAGTGAATTAGTGTTAGTGCACTTAGTAGTAAGTGCTAAACAGTCTTCCCTTTAATAGAGTTGTAAGTTGGACAATTCCTTATGTTAGAAATATTTTTAGGAAATGAGGTT